CGGCGGCTTAAAAAAAAAGGCGTCCCAGCTACTTGGGAGGCTACGGCAAGAGATTCACTTAAACCCAAGAGTTTGAGGTTGCTATGAGCTATGACTCTACAGCACTCTACCAAGGGCGACAAAATGAGTCTCAAAACAAAATTGTTTTGTTTTGTTTTTCCAATCTAGAAGATCTTAAAGTTGTTTTATTTTGTGCAGCGCCTGTGCCTCAGTGAGTAGGGTGCCAGCCCCATGTACCGAGGGTGGCGGGTTCAAACCCGGCTCTAGCCAAACTGCAACAAAAGAATAGCCTGGTGTGGCAGGCGCCTATACTCCCAGCTGCTGGAGGTTGCTGTGAGCTGTGTGATGCCACAACACTACCCACTCTACCGATGGCAATAAAGTGAGACTCTGTCTCTACCAAAAAAAAAGTTGTTTTATTTTAGTTTGCATTTACCTGATGAGGGTGAAGTTGAGCACTGATCATTCACTGATTTGATAGATATGTGTTTTCTGGACAATACTGTAGAGGCAGTAAGTAAACAAAGGGAAATAATACAGGTGCCATTCCTGCCTCATAGATCGAAGACGTGAAATATTTCAGCTGTAGATAATTCCTTCAGTATTTTGCCTTTTACTTATTTTTTAGGATTTGGTGTTTATATGACCTTTTATTTTTTTCTTTTTGAAACAGAGTCTCACTCTATTACCCTGGGCAGTGTGCCATGGTATCATCATAGTCATCATAGCCATTGCAACCTCAAACTCCTGGGCTTAAGAGATCCTCTTGCCTCAGCCTCCACAGAAGCTACTAAGACTACAAGCATGTAGCCACCTCACCTGGCCAAGATTCCATCTCTTAAAAGGCCATTTACTTATTTTTTTTTATTTTATTTTTTTCCATTTACTTATTTTTTTTTTTTTGTTTTTGTTTTTTTTTGAGACAGAGCCTCAAGCTTTCCCCCTGGGTAGAATGCCGTGGCATTACAGCTCACAGCAACCTCCAACTCCTGGGCTCAAGCGAGTCTCTTGCCTCCGCCTCCCAAGTAGCTGGGACCACAGGCGCCCGCCACAACGCCCGGCTATTTTTTGGTTGCAGCCATCATTGTTGTTTTGGCGGGTCCGGGCTGGGGATTCAAACCCGCCACCTTAGCTGTACGTGGCTGGCGCCTTAGCCGGTTGAGCTATAGGCGCCGAGCCATTTACTTATTTTTTAAGAGATGAGGTCTCAGCCAGGTGATGTGGCTCACACTTGTAATCTCAGCACTCTGGGAGGCCAAGGTGGGTGGATTGCTACAAGCCTAACCAAGAGCGCAACCCTATCTCTAAAAAATAAAAACAAATAGCTGGGCATTGTAGCGGGTGCCCCGTAGTCCCAGCTACTTGGGAGGCTGAGGCAAGAGAATCTCTTGAGCCCAAGAGTTTGAGGTTGGTGTGAGCTGTGACCCCACGGCACTCTACTGAGGGCAACAAAGTTTCAAAATAAAAAAGAACTGTCACCTAGGCTTCAGTTCAGTAGTGTACTCACAGCTCACTGTAGCCACTGACTCCTGGGATCAAGCAATCCTCCCACCTTGACCTCCCAAAGTGCTGGGATTACAGGTGTGAGCTGGATCTATGTTGCCAGGCTGGATGCAGTGGCTACTTACAGACACAATTATAACTCACTGCAGCCTCAAACTTTCGGACTTAAATGATCCTCCTGCCTTAGCCTCCTAAGTAAATAGAACAACAGGTGTGAACCATTGCACCCAGCCCTTGAGTTGTTCTTATAATAGTTGCTGAGTGCAGAAAATTTGAAAGCACAGAAAAGCCAAAAGGAGGGGAAATAAACATGTAGTGATGGAGACCTCAGATATATTTATTTATTTATTTATTTTTATTTATTTATTTTAAGATAGAGCCTCAAGCTGTCACCCTGGGTAGAGTGCTGTGGCATCACAGCTCACAGCAACCTCCAACTCCTGGGCTTAAGCGATTCTCTTGCCTCAGCCTCCCAAGCAGCTGGGACTACAGGCACCTGCCACAACACCCAGCTATTTTTTGTTGTAGTTGTCATTGTTTGGCAGGCCCGGGCTGGATTTGAACCCACGAGCTCTCGTGTATGTGGTTGGCACCTTGGCTGCTTGAGCTACAGGCACCAAGCCTAGATCTCAGACGTATTTAAACTTAACAATACCCATGCTCTCATTCTATACACAAATCATTTGTATGCATTCATCAAAACTGGCTTGTGTTGGCTGGGGCTACAGTGGATCATGACTGTTATCCTAACACTCTCAGAGGCCAAGGTGGGTGGGTTGCTTGAGTTTAGGCGTTTGAGACCAGCCTGAGCAAGAGTGAGACTCCATCTCTACTAAAAATAGAAAAACTAGCTGAGGTACACGCCTATAGTCCCAGCTTTTTGGGAGGCTGAGGCCGGAGGATTGCTTGAGCCCAAGAGTTTGAAGTTACTGTGAGCTTCGATGACACCACAACACTCTACCCAAGACAAAAGAGTAAGAATGTCACATACAGGGCGGTGCCTGTGGCTCAAAAGGGTAGGGTGCTGGCCCCATATGCCGGAGGTGGTGAATTCAAACCCAGCCCCAGCCAAAAAAGAATGTCACATACACACAAAGTCACCATGCATCACTTGGAGGTGGGGAGAACACACCGGAGAACACACCTGAGGAACACACCTCATGCATACTCCTCCCACACCAATCACTTACTGAAAAGCTTGCTCAAAGAATACAATTAAGTTAAGTATAGCATCAGGGAAGGCACTGCAGAGAGAGTGCTATATGAACTGAGAATAGAGAGGCAAATCAGCCTTGACCTGGCCAAAGAATGTGGAAGAATATACCAAGCAATGGGGAAAAGTCAAGTAAATACCTATAAGCAAAGAAGAGCAGATCATATCCAGCAACTGGCAACATAGTTTACTAAAGCTGGATTGCAGGAACCTTGGAAGGGAGAGGGAGGTTAGGAAGCCAGAGAACTTGGCAGAGACCCTGGTCTAGAGGCTTTGTTTTATTGAATTTTGATTTTAGCCTGAAGGTACTGGTAGAAAGAATCCAATGAAGGGAATGATCAGGGTGGTGATTCTCAAGGATCATTCCAGCATCCATTCAGGGCATGGGATTCAAGACCTTCATGGACGTGCAAGGCCAGGTCAAGCAAGGCAGTGCAGGCAGAGTCTGTTATTGTTTAGGAGGCTGAACAGGGATATGGGGGCAGGGGATGGAGGTGATAAGGATCACCAGCTCCTGGCTTGGGCCTGGGTGGACAGAGGTGCCATCCACGTAAGCACAGGAGGAAGTGGGCAAAGGCTGAGTTTGGGAACAGGCTGAGCTACAGATCTTTTCACTGTAGACAGGGGCTGAAGCTCAGGTCCAGCAAGACGTTAGCAGGTGGCTCAAGAAGCCAGTGGAGGCATTAGCTGGGCCAGGAGGGCATGTGAAGTACAGAGAAAAGGGCCAGTCCTTAGGGCTAGGGGCCGGGACCTCTGGAGGAGGCATGGCGAGCTGTGGGTGCAGTCTGGCATGGGGCTCACTGGATGAGTCCCTCCACGCGCAGTAGTAGGTAGTCTCTGAGGATTGGAGGCAGCGGGAGCCAGGCAGCAGCCTGCCGGCAGCGGCTACCCAACTGAGCACGCACAGCCACTCTGGCCAGGTGCTGCAGTCGCCTTGGCTGGTTTACCATGTGCAGGGCTGAGCTGTAGAAGTCGCTGTGCTCCTAGGCCAGGAGTAAAGGGTGGTCAGGTGACACAACACCCTTGACTATGCCCTACTATTTAGGGGCAGCCCAGTGGTGGGGGCCCTGGGATTTTGCAATATGAACCCATCTGGGTGGCCAGTGCATTTTAAAGGACTCAGATTTAAAGCCAGAGAGGCCCTGCAGTGGTAAAGGGGGCTGGGGCTACACTTCAGGGCAGGGTCTCAGCCAAGTCTGCACCTACTCCCACCCTAGACATGCTGGCACAGTGCCCACTGAGTCAGAGATGCCTGATAAATGTCGGTGCTGATACAGCTGAGACAGGCTGGAGGGTGTGTGAAATTACAAGTCAGTCTGTGCTGCTAGGGAAGGGGGCTCCACTTGGCCCTGTTCCTCCAACCAGGGGTCTACTTGCTCCTGCTTCCATTAAGCCAGTCATGGAGGCACACATCTGTGGTGCATCCTTCCTCCCCCTCTCCCCTGTGAAATGACCTCTGCCCTAAGGTGGACATACCTGCCACAGCTCTGGAAGCACTGCCTCCACCCAGGTATCACAAGATGGGACACAAGGATAGGCATTAAGCAGGACTTCCAGGGCCCGAGGGAAGTTGGCACAGTGTTTCAGCATCTAAAAATCAAAAGAAGGTCTTGGGCATTATGCCTCCCCCAACCAAGGCAGACCCAAGTCCAGCCTAACCAAAATCCCCACTCATACCCTAATTTCTTTTTATTTTTGTAGAGACAGAGTCTTGCTATATTGCTCAGGCTGGTCTCAAACTCCTGGCCTCAAGCAATCCTTCCCACCTCAGTGACCCAAAGTGCTGAGGTAACAGGCATGAGCTACCCTGTCCAGCCTCACACCCTAATTTGGCAGAGTTAAGGTCTGAGTGTATTCTCATTTTTCCATGCCTCAGTTTACCCTCAAGTGTGTTCCAACCTCCTGGTCCCAGTTTCCTTGGGAGTTCTTTCCTCTCTTGGACACCCTCCCCTATAACCCTCTTCCCCTCCCAAGATGAGGACAGACCTCCAGCCACTGAGTAAACATTCAGTCTCTTGGACCCCTCTCTCCCGCAGAGGCAGGGAAATTCCAGCTGCAGACGTCCCCACCCTCCATGGGAGCTTTCTTAGGCCCACCCTGCGCACCTCAGGACGCATAGGCTGGGCCCCGTAATCCAGCAGTGCGGTGAAGAGGACCTCAGGCTCCGAGTTGGCGCTGTCTTGGACGGCCTGTAGCACGCAGTCCATGGGTGTGTGGCCTGCCCCGTTGCGGACCCTGGCACAGGCCCCGTAGCTCAGTAGCAGCTCGACCAGGCCCCCGCAGCCGTTGACACAGGCATTGTGCAGCGGCGTATGACGCTTGCGCCCGGCCGCCCGGGCATCAGCTCCGGCCTTCAGGAGCAGACGTGCTACGGCCTCGTGCTGCCCGCCTTCACCCCGACCCTCAGCTCCCGCGCAAGCCGCGTTCAGCGCCGTCTCACCCTGGCTGGTGCGCAGGCCTACATCAGCCCGATGTTCCAGGTAGAGAGCCACATGCTTGTCCAGGCCACGCGCTGCAGCCACATGGAGAGGCGTCATGTCTCTCTCGCTTTCCACCAGGTTCACCTTCGCTCCAGCCTCCAGCAGCAACTTGGCACACCTGGGCACAGGGCACAAGGCCTGGTCTGGGATCCCTGAGCCTGCTGTTCCAACCACACTTCCTTCCCCCCCCCCTCCTGGATGTCGAGCGTGATGTCACCTGTCAGAATTACAGAAGCCGCATCACAGTAGAGCGGGAAGGGCCATGAAAACCACCAGAAACATCCCCAATTTTCAGATGAAAAACTTGAGTGCAGAAACAATTTGGGCAGTCAAGGTCACACAGCAAGTTAGTGGCTGTACCAGAATTAGTATTCACTGCCTCAGATAGTCCCTCCCAGAACCTGCCCTGACTCCTCAGTGGAATGGAACCCCAAGGCCTGGATCTGAATTATTTCTCAGTAGCCTCCTAACTTTTTTTTTTTGAGACAGAGTCTCACTACGTTGCCCTCAGTAGAGTGCTATGGCGTCACAGCTCACAGCAACCTCAAACTCTTGGGCTTAAATGATTCTCTTGCCTCAGCCTCCCAAGTAGCTGGGACTACAGGTGCCTGCCACAATGCCCACCTATTTTTTTTGTTGTTATAGTTGTCATTGTTTAGTAGGCCAGGAACAGGTTCGAACCCACAAGCCTCAGTGTATGTGACCAGCACCCTAGCCACAGAGCTACAGGCATTGAGCTGCCTCTTAACATTTTGATAGCACAAAATTTTGAAAACCCACTCCTGGCCAAGCATAGTAGTTCGTGCTTATATTCCTAGCACTCTGGGAGGCCAAGGCAGATGGATTGCTTCAGCTCACAAATTCAAGACCAGCCTGAGCAAGAGTGTCTAAAAATAGACACCCTGTCTCTAAAAATAGCCTAGCATTGTGGTAGTCACCTATAGTCCCAGCTGCGGAAGAGGCTAAGGCAACAGGATCACTTGAGCCCGAGAGTTTGCGGTTGCTGTGAGCTATGACGCCACAGCACTATCCTGAGGGCAACAAAGTGACTCTGTCCCAAAAAATAAAATAAAACCCCACTCCTATGGACACCTACATGCATAGGAAATGTATGAGCCAAAAAGGAAAATAAATAAATATTTTCTTCCTGCCTCAACCTTGAGGACCACTCTTCTAGGCCAAGCCATATCATTCAAGCAACAGCAAGCACTTCGGGACCTCCTTACCCCATTTTCCCTTATAGAAAACAAAACCAAAGGAACAAAAATTCCCAGATTTTACAGAGTGCATGTTTTACAATCATGTTTCCTAGTTCCTGGGAAAATTATAGGCCAGAACACTGTTGTAACAAATAGGCGTCATTACCTACCACAGGGCAAACCAAATACATCACAAACTAAATTAATAATGATGAAATTAAACTAACAGTAATTTATAATTTAAAAGCCAGAGTAGCAGCCACTGGAAACTCAGGAGCAGATCAGTCAACCCTGATAAAACCCTGATACAGGTGTCCTTTCCCAAAATGGCCAGAATTCCTGCTCAGTCACCCAGCAGGTGCTTTGCTCAGTAGCCAACAGCTGAGTAGCAGCCAGTCTTCCATACACTATGCAATTTATGTCCTCAGCAAATTCTAATCACGGGATAGTTTTTGTTTCCAAATACTAGGCTTGGTGCCTGTAGTACAGTGGTTACGGCGCCAGCCACATACACCAAGGCTGGTGGGTTCAAAATCCAAATACTGTATATATGTATGTATGTATGTATTTAAGATAGAGTCTCACTCTGTTGCCCTGGGTACAGGGCCATGGCATCATCATAGCTCAAAGAAACCTCATACTGTTAGGCTCAAGAGATCTCTTGCTTCAGTTTTCCTATTATTTTTTTCAGTAGAGAACCCAAGAAAGGAATGGCAAATTTTGATCGATTCTAGGTCCATCGCTGACATAGTTCTAGCAGGCAGAAGTCCCCAGCACATGAACTGTCAGAGTCTTCCAAGAGCCCTTGAATTTTTACCTGTGTACCCTGACTGTTGGCCTGATTGTAAAAGTGCAAATACAGCCAAGCAGAGAGTTAAAGAAACAATTGACCTTCAAGTGGGAGAAGGAGGTATGGGGGTCGTCACAGTGAATCTGAGAAACATGAGGCTAGATTTTTCTTGCTTTCTCTTTGTAGAGACAGGGTCTGGTTGTGTTCCCCAAGCTGATTTCGAATTCCTAAGCTCAAGAGATCCTCCTGCCTTAGCTTCTTGAGTAGCTAGGACTATGGGTGGGAGCCACCATGCCCAGCTTGGGGCTAGCTCTTTCTTGATGGCCACCTGAAAACAACTACGAATTTACCTACTGACAATTCACAGGGAATTGGAGACTGCATTTGGAAAGCTGAAACAGAGTTTTCCCAAAGAGCAAAGGGCTTCTGCCTCCTGGGTTTAGCAGATGTGACCTTGGACAAGTTACTAAATCTTCCTGAGCCTCATTTTTCTCTTCAATAGAAGAGAACCTTTCTCCAGGTTGCCATGAAGAGATGGGAGGTGCTTTGGGAACTACAAAGCTGCTTATAGATGCCAAGTTCTCCCTTTCTGGCACTGGGAGTTGGACACACATACATACACACACACACACTCCTCCCCCAAACCATCCCTGTCCCTGGGCACTTACTGCAAGGACTCAGGGGTCGTGCAGAGGTGCAAGGGGGTCGTGCCCTCCTCAGACAGCACATTAGCCTTGGCACCGAAGGTCAGCAGCAGCTGCACACAGTCAGGCTGGGCCTGGGCACAGGCCTCGTGCAACGCAGTTCGGCCCCCGATCCGGGCATCCAGCTCAGCTCCCTGCAGGATCAAGTGGCGTGCGCAGTCTGTGTAGCCTCGGGCTGCAACGATGGTGAGGGGTGCCGTCTGCTTGGTTTTGGGGGTCAGCACCCAGAACCCTGAGGAGAGCAGGCAGTGTCAGAGGTGGTGTGTGAGACAGGCAGGCAGCGCTGCCTTCAGTTGACAGCTGACCTGGCCTTCCCTTTGCACAGTTTGCTGAGCACAAATACTGTGCCAGGCTGTGCCTGTGGAAAGGGGCTCACTCAAGCCCTGAATTTGGAGCATAAATTAAAACAAAACACAGTATCATAGAAAAAAAATTAATTGGCTGGGCACGGTGGCTCACGCCTGTAATCCTAGCACTCTGGGAGGCCAAGGCAAGTGGATTGCTTGAGCTCAATTACTTTAATTCAAGATCATCCTGAGCAAAAGCGAGACCCCGCCTCTACTAAAAAATAGAACAACTGAGGCAAGAGGATCACTTGAGCCCATGACTTGGAGGTTGTTGTGAGCTATAACGCTATAGCACTCTACCCAGGGGGACAGTTTGAGACTCTGTCTCAAGAAAAGAAAAAAATTAATTGCTCTATAAAACCACAAGTGCTAACTAGGGAGAGTGAATCCCAGTAAGGAAGCCTTTGAGCTGCTAATAGAGTTGATGGCTTTTTTTGGTTCACCTCAGGTGCTGAGTGTGTGGTGGACCTGGGCCCGAATTTAGGAGTGGCCATGGAGCCACAGACTGGAGTTCTGGAGTTCCAGAATATGCCCAGGGCAGGGGTGGGAGGGATGAGTGGAAGTAGGGGGAAGGGTATGTGTGTGTGTGTGGGGTGACTATAAGAGGTGGAAGTGGGGAGAGAAAGAATGAGGAGAGGGGTTGATCTGGATTGAATGGTCACTACATCAGATGCCAAATAATGGAACTGTAAGTTGTTTACATGGCAGCACAGTAAGTCTCTTGGGTAACATGGTTAAGCTGCAGGGCAAGACCAGGATGCTCTGGTGGAGTCACAGCCAAGCAAAATTTGGAGCCCATAATGACTGTGAGATGATAAACTCTCCTCAGGATTCAAGCCCCAGGTCTGTGGGTGGGTTTGAGGCAATCTATTGATTTGAACCTATTAGGATCTCAGCTGAGGTCTTGGGTTTACGTGGATAAACTTTCTGGCCAGAATATATCCTAAGGAAGTCTTCTGGCAAGTATATTAGAGATGGTCTTCATACTGCTATTTTATTTTATTTATTTATTATTATTTTAAGAGACAGAGTTTCACTTTGTTGATCTCGATAGAGCGCTGTGGCATCACAGCTCACAGCAACCTCAAACTCTTGGGCTTAAGTGTTTCTCTTGCCTCAGCCTCCCAAGTAGCTGGGACTACAGGCACCAGCCACAACACATAGCTATATTTTTTGGTGTTGCAGTTGTGATTGTTGTTTAGTAGGCCCAGGCCAGGATTGAACTCACCAGCCCTGGAGTTTGTAGCTGGTACCCTAACCACTGAGCTATGGGCGCCGAGCCCATACTGCTGTTTTATTTTATTTTATTTATATTTTTGAGACAGAGTCTCAAGCTGTCACCCTGGATAGAGTGCTGTGATATCACAGCTCACAGCAACCTCTAACTCTTGGGCTTAAGTGATTCTCTTTTTTTTTAATTTTAATTTAAGGCTTGGTGCCTGTGGCTAAGGAGCCAGCCACATACACCTAAGGTGGCAGGGTCGAATCCAGCCCAGGCCCGCCAAGCAACAATGATGGCTGCAACCAAAAAATGGCCGGGCGTTGTGGTGGGCACCTGTCATCCCAGTTGCTTGGGAGGCAGAGACAGGAGACTCACTTGAGCCCAGGAGTTGGAGGTTGCTGTGAGCTGTAATGCCACGGCACTCTACCCAGAGGGATAGCTTGAGGCTCTGTCTCAAAAATAAATAAATAAATAAATTTTAATTTAATTTAATTAATTTATTTATTTTTGCAATTTTTGGCCAGGGCTGGGTTTGAACCCACCATCTCCGGTATATAGGGCTGGCACCCTACTCTTTTGAGCCACAGGCACCGCCCTTAAGCTATTGTCTTGCCTCAGCCTCCCAAGTAGCTAGGACTACAGACACCTGCCACAATGCCCAGCTATTTTTTGGTTGTAGTTGTTATTTTGTTTGGCAGACCCGGGCTGGATTCAAACCCACCAGCTCTGGTGTATGTGGCTGGTGCCTTAGCCACTTGAGCTACAAGGCGTCAAGCCCATACTGCTACATATATTATATATATATGTGTGTGTGTGTGTCTATTTTTTTTTTTTTTTTGGCTGGGCTGGGTTTGAACCCACCACCTCTGGCATATGGGGCCGGCGCCCTACTCCTTTGAGCCACAGGTGCTGCACCATATTGCTATTTTAAATAGTTAAAAAGTAAAAAAGGAATGACAGCGCCTGTAGCTCAGTGGGTAGGGTGCCAGCCACATACACCTAGGCTGGCAGGTTCGAACCCGGCTCAGGCCAGCTAAACAACAATGACAACTGCAACAAAAAAATAGCCGGGCATTGTGGCAGGAGCTTGTAGTCCCAGCTACTTGGGAGGCTGAGGCAAGAGAATCATTTAATGGCTCAGCTCCCATAGCACAGTGGTTATGGCACCAGCCACATACACTGAGGGTGGTGGGTTCAAGCCTGGCCCGGGCCAGTTAAAACAAAAAAGACAACTGCAACACAAAATAGCCAGTCGTTTAAAAAGAAATAAATAAATAAATAAATACAAAGAGAATCACTTAAGCCCAAGAGTTTGAGGTTGCTATGAGCTGTGATGCCACAGCACTCTACTGAGGGCAACATAGTGAGACTATGTCTCCAAAAAAAAAAAAAAAAGTAAAAATGGAACGCTATCTACCCAATCCATTTGAGGGTTAGTTATTTAAATAATGGCACATACACCTAACCGTACAATTTATGCACCTATTTAAAATATTTTATAGACATGTTATTGACATTAAAAGATGTTACATAAAAAAATAGGGTTATAAAATTGCATTTGGGATATCATTTCATTCTATGAAAGATGAAATATTCAAGTATGTGAATATATGTGCAGAAAAAAATGGTGTTTGTATGTTACTATATAATTAACATAATATATACATGATCATATTTATCAAAATATATGTTAAAAGAATATAATTTTTAATTCTGAAAAGACATGCAGGCCACTGACTGCCTCATCTCCATCTATGAGGGAGTAAGGCTGGGGCAGTGGGAACCAGTGCTCTCAAGTCTTCAGTCCACAGGGAGGGAATGGAGCCTAGGCCCTCCCTTCTCTCCTGCCCTCTCCTGGTGCTCCTTACCCTGTTCAGCCGACCAGGCCAGCTGGTTGCTCACCATCTCCACAATCATGTTGGCAGCCTCTTCATCTTGGAACAGGGCTTGGACCTGTTGCAGGTCACCAGAGAACAGGGCATTGTGGACAGCTGGGTCTCGGCAGGTGTGGCGGGGCCTTGTGAGTCGGGCCTGGGCACTTAAGGGGCACCTGTGGCTTCGGCTCTGCTGGGCAGCAGCACGCCGCCGGTCGTCCCATTCCAGCCACTCTTGCTGCAGGCGGAGAGAGCGCAATGTGGAGGAGGTGAAAGGGAAGGTTTCTCTTGCCATGGGAAGGGGCTCAGGGGTTCAGGCAGTGGCTACCACCCTTGATATGAAGAGCCACCCTACCCCCTCCTGAGTGAGTCAGAGAGAAGAGGTGCTGAGGCTATAAATAGGCCCTTTGCTGCTGTGGTAAACAGTTTGCCCAGAGTCACGATCCTATTGCAGAGTAGGTGCTAGGCCCCTGTCCCTACCCCTGCCAAATGCCCTTTAATTGCTCAGTAGGCCCTCAACTGAGGCCATCCCTGAACCCCAGGATCTGAATCTTCACTCTTCTCTGGAGTGAGCAAGGTTCCAGATGAGTGCAACAGCCACTCATGGAAATGGACAGGGCAGAAAAGAAGACTAGTTTCCTCCAGCCTGGTGGAGGTCAAGAGCTCCCACTAGCCCATGTGGAGGAGAGAGGCCGACCTCAGCACAGGAAGTAAGGGGAGGTGTTAAGACTGAGTTACTGAGAAATCAGGGGTCCTGAAACTTTTTAAACAGGCGGCCAGTTTAAAGTGAATAGCTTCTCCCAGCATCTGCAGTAACAGCATAAGTGCACACATGCACAGAGATTTATGGTATCTGAATCACTTTCATATCCTACCTGCTAGCTTACCCAGGTAAACAATAAATTTCATTTAAACAATAAATGAAATGATCACAGTTGGCTGGGCACAGTTCTTTATACCTTCAATCCCAGTACTTTGGGAGGCTAAGGCTGGAGGATCACTTGAAGGAGTGGTTCTCAACCTTCCTAATGCTGCAACCGTTTAATACTGTTAAAAGGAGTCTTAAATCCAGGAGTTTGAGACCAGCCTGGGCAACATAGGAGACCCTCAAGTCTACAGAAAAAAAAATTTTTATTTTTTATTCATTTTTATTTATTTATTTTTGAGATAGAATTTCACTTTGTGGCTCGGCGCCTATAGCTCA